CCAGCCACCTTTCATCGCATGTGATGTCATGACAGACTACTCACTGAACTCTTGAAGTACACGAAACGTGATTGTCGACAAGTTAAAATAGTCTATTTTGTGTGTAGCCGTCTTACCACCTACTTTATCAAAAAAAAGTTAGTTGAATAAATGTTAGCAGCCTTGCCTTCTATTTTGTTAAAAAAGTTGGTTGAATAAATGTTAGCTGCATTGCCTTCTACTTTGTTAAAAAAGTTTAGTTGAATAAATGTTTTAAGAGAAAAATAAAGCATTGCTATAAAAAAGGTTAAGTCAACTGTTATTTAAAAAAAAAACAGACTTTTGTTAAAATACCTGTAGCCATCCTGCCTTGTACTTTGTTAAAAAAGTTGAGTTGAATAAATGTATTGTAATTCTGACAAAAGAAAGGTTAATAAATATTTTAATGTTTAAATCAGTTGTCATTTTTCGCTCCAGTTGTGCTCTGCACAAAGGGGAGCTTATGTCAGCAATGTGCACAAAATGAGCGCTCGGTCTGTCTGTGTGGGAAACTTGTTCAAATGATATCTCTAGAAGCGATCATCATATTCAGATGAAACAAGTCTGATAATATGGAACATGCAAATTCTGATAAGATTTTGGTCAAACCATGCATAACTAATTTGTATCAATTACCAGACCAAAGTTCTACTTAATTCCAAAGGACTCCGGTGCCCCTGGGCCCCATGTTAATAAATTTGCAGAGAATTCGGCAGTAAACAGGCAGGGGAGAGCCTTTTTGCGAAATCAAATTTGCAATCAAATCACTATCGACACATAAGCTTTCTCTTTTAATATTATATTTGTGTTTTCTTTCATATAGTTAATACCCATATGCCTAAAGACAGGGTAACACAACAGCACCAAGGCTATGGTTTTGTGGAGTTTTTAGGTGAAGAAGATGCCGACTATGCAATCAAAATTATGAATATGATAAAAATATATGGTAAACCGATACGAGTGAATAAGGTAGGAATAGCTTTTTATAATAATGAATTTCTTTTGTTGGTCATGGCAATGCACTGTGTTCAAGGGTGGTAGTCGTCGCGCCACACATGCGCGAGATATATGGGTCTCATATAAACAGAGATGACGACTTTGACTGTTGCGCAGACCAACGAGTACAAACTGAGACGTTACCAAGCTTCAATTGGCGAATTTTTACGTGATTGGAAGGTGTTGAAGGAGTCACCGGTGGTAATTAGTGAAAGTCACGTCCAGATCAAACCTCATACTTGTGATTTCCATTTGAAGAGTGCATTGGATTGTGGAAATGTTTTTCAACATAAATGTCGAACATGCAGCGCAACAACTACCGTGCTTTAAGATTGAAATTGTTGATGTCCACATAGGGTTATAATGCACATGGCTGGTTTTGTGACGCCGCAGTTTTGATCGTCAGTATATGCACTTTTGAAAATTAGTAAAACATTTACAAAAAATCTGACACCTGTTTTACCTAGATTACTGAAAATTTTGCTTTGACTATCGGTGGGAAATTCTCAATTATTTACTCCTAAATAAATGTGCAAGCAGTTATTGAAGTTCAAAACTATAAGAACATGTCAAAAATGGAAATAAATATTTATTTGATAATATTTGATAGAACGCAATAAAAAACTTGTTGTCATCAAAGTAAACTTTTGTCACCTTCCATGAGAGTTATAGACAAAAGTATGACATGAAAAATTATGATGCAAAATTTTACTTCAAAGGAACAATACACTGTTGAATTTGAGCTTTTCTTTTCTTTAACAGTAATCACTTTAATTAAGTAAAGTAAAAATTGTAATTGTAAAAATAAGTAATTCATTGTTTCCTTGCTATGTCTGTTAAGTTAAAACAAGTTAACTAGTGCAATTCCTCAACGCATTAAAATAACAAAATTAAATTGTATTACAGTAGATTGCTTACAAATATTGTTGATTCTTATTTTACAGGCATCAGCACATCAAAAGAATTTAGATGTTGGAGCGAATATATTTATTGGAAATTTAGACCCAGAAATAGACGAGAAGTTGTTGTACGATACATTTAGTGCATTTGGTGTAATATTACAGACGCCTAAGGTAGGTCAATTTGTATGGGCAGAAGTAAATGAAGAGATTAATAAGACCCCAAAAAAGTGCTGCTTTTCATCCTAGGGTATATTAAAAAAAAGTTATGCAATGACATAGTCCTTGTTCAGATGTAGTCCTAGTCCACAACAGGGACTTGCGTTTTGACCACTGTGTTGTTCGTCAACAATTGCATTTTTGACTTGACACCAGTCCATTGCTTTGATACTTGGTTGTGTAGGTATTTTGAATTTTTCTTGAACATTACCAGCCCGATTGTTTGATATTTGAGGTGTACATAATTTTTGACTCCCGTGTGCGAAGCACAAAAAGGAGTCTTTGCAGTTACCCTGTCTGTATGTCTGTATGTATGTATGTATGTCACTTTTTTTGTTCCACCATTATCTCAAGAACCACTAATCAAATTTTAGTGAAACTTGGTACATAGATGCTCTGGGATAATGCGCAGAGTTGATTAGGTTTTGGTAAAAATCCATGAATATTAATTACCTAATTTGCATGATAATTAGCTGATTTGTAGCTGTACCATGACTGTTCCACTGATATCTGAAGAACCACTCATTGGATTTTGATGAAACTTGGCACATGGATGCTCTAAACTAGTGCGCAGATTTGATAAGTTTGGGGTAAAAATTTATGAATAATAATTACCTAATTTGCATGATAATTAACTGATTTTAAGCTGTTCTATGACTTTTCCACTGATATTTGAAGAATCACTCATTGGATTTTGATGAAACTTGGCAC